GGCGGGATCCGGGACGGAGCCAACTCCGAGCTGCCTGGGACTGGAGGAAGCTCATCACTGGCACTTGGACCACAGTAGGGTACTCAACTGAATAAAAATGTTGGAGTATTAAAGCTTCTAGAGAAATAATTCCCAAAATGCACGCTGGGAGACATGGGAATGGCAGTCCCAGGGCTCTAATGCCAAACCGTAACCGCTTTCCAAGTTACAGCCAGGAAAACCTAGGACTAGTTAATGAAGTGGTTTGCAGCTTCATTTAGGGCAATTAGCCATGTTTATATTATATTTGAATATCTATTTTACCTTGCAACTGTCATATATAAATATGACATATTTGCAATGTGTCACAAAGGACTATCAGGGAATCCCAGAGAGGGTTGGGTTGGAAGGGACCTTCAAACCCACCTCATTCCACCCCTGTCATGGGCAGGGACACCTTCCACTATCCCAGATTGCTCCAAGACCTGTCCAACCTGGCCTGGAACACTTATTTTCTATACATAAAGCAGCAAAATATATATATATATATCTAAAAATACCAAAGCTCCCTTGTGCCCTGGACACACAACACACGAGACGAATCCGTTTGACGTAGTTTGGATTTGACATTATCCACACACAAAGAAAAACCTCCAGGATTTTGGTAACCAAATCCAACTGCATTTTTCGCTTCCTGCCGCTCAGACTGCTCAGATTCACACGTGGAGCATCCTCCATGGATTAGCACATTAAATCCCAGACAGCAAAGGAACACCGAGTACACGGGATTTAGAAAATGCCGGAGCCGAAAATGCCAACGAGACCTTAATTCCAACCCCTCCCGTGGATTTGGAACTACAAAACTCTGAAATCACTGATTATCATATCTGGGGCTCCCAACTTCAGAGGGATGTGGAGCTGCTGGAGTGAGTCTGGAGGGGACACGGAGCCGCTCCCAGGGCTGGAGCCCCTCTGCTCTGGAGCCAGGCTGGGAGAGCTGGGGGGGTCACCTGGAGAAGAGAAGGCTCCAGGGAGAGCTGAGAGCCCCTTGCAGGGCCTGAAGGGGCTCCAGGAGAGTGGAAAGGGACTGGGGACAAGGCATGGAGGGACAGGACACAGGGAATGGCTTCCCACTGCCAGAGGGCAGGGTTAGATGGGATATTGGGAAGGAATTGTTCCCTGTGAGGGTGGGGAGGCCCTGGCACAGGTTGCCCAGAGAAGCTGTGGCTGCCCCTGGATCCTTGGAAGTGTCCAAGGCCAGCTTGGAGCAACCTGGGACAGTGGAAGGTGTCCCTGCCCATGGTAGGGGGTGGAATTAGATGGGCTTTAATGTCCCTTCCAACCCAACCCATTCTGCAATTCCATGACACTCTATTGAAAAAATGAGGATGAAAACTGTCCCCGGACGGAATAACTGATGGATTTGGGTCCTTCATCCCTTGCACAACACAAGCACCATTAACCCTTTGTTCCCTACCTCCCCCTTCCCACTGCATGTGAAGGGGAGGCAGCACTGACCACAAACTTCTGCATTTATTTTGCCTCCACATCCTCCAATTTCCACCTTTTTTCTTGTCCTGCTACATAATTTGGATGAATATCGGAGGAACTTCCCAGCAAATGACTTGAGAGGACTGTCCTACACCCATCTCCTTAAGACACTGAGCTACCAAAACCCATGTAAACCAAAAATGAAGCCTAAACAAGGCACTAAAATATCAATATAATTTTAAAAATGCAATGGAAGGAGATAGAAGGGTTTAATTTGGTTGCTGGGAAAAGCCACACAGGGGTATAATAGTGATTCCCAAATCCTGGGACTGGGGCAGAGGTGCAGCCTATTGAAAGGAGGGTGGAGCCAGGTGGGGGTCAATCCCTTCTCCCAAGTGACAGGACAGAAAGAAACAGCCTCAAGTTGTACCAGGGAAGGTTTAGGTTGGATATTAGGGAAAATTTCCTCATGGAAAGGGCTGTAAAGCCTTGGAAGGGGCTGCCCAGGGATATGGTGGAGTCCCCATCCCTGGGGGTGTTCCAAAGCACGTGGGCCAGTGCTGGGCTTGGCACTGCTGGGCAACAGCTGGACTGGATGATCTTGGAGCTCTTTTCCAACCTAAACGGTCCTTCAGTCATTAAAAGCTGTAACAGAATTCCCAAATCCTGGGGCTAAAGGTGCAACTAAAGCTGCTTTGAGATGGTGCAACCACAAAGATCTACGGCTGGAGAAACCTGAGCAAGGGGCTGGGAACAGGGGCACTGGTGGCCCTGGAAAGCCAGTTTCTGGGACATTCCTTGGCACACCAGGAATGGGGGGGCAATGTGCTAAAACTCAAGCCAAGACACTTGTTTCTACTCTCATGTCTACAAATCCAAGGAAATTTCCTTGTTGGGAGTGATCTCCACAACTCAGAAGCCACAGCAAGAGCAGGGGAAATTCCCCCAGGTTCTGTGAATGCCCGAGTCATCCAAGGGACCTGTTGTATTCCCATCAATTGTAGAAATGAAATTATCTTATCAAACACTGACCTTTTTCCCTCCCTGCTGCCTTTTTAATGCCATTCCCAAGTGTGATTTGGATAACAGGCGATTCAACCACCTTTTTTTTCTTCCCTGCTGTAGGATTTTACTCAACATTTTTTAGAATGCTTTGAGAAGCTTAGGACAGAAGTGCTGCTTTACCCACAGCACTGGATCAGAAGGAAAACTGCAGGAAATCTTGACATTGAGCTTTTTGTTTCCTCCCCCCGCCTAAAACTGTGCCAAATCAATCACTTTTATGCAAATCCTTGTTGCAGCGACAGAGGAGATAAAATCAAGTTATTAGAGAAGATGAAATCAAGTTATTAGAGAAGATAAAATAAAGTTATTGCTGTTTCATTCCAATGTTGGATACAAATCATGTTAAATACAAAGTGACTGTAGTAGTACTATATTTATCTGATTATATGCAGTATATAAATATTTATGTATAATAGATATTTATATGCAGTATATAAAGTATATACAGTATATAAAGATAGATTATATATAGTATATGTAGTAGTATCATAGTGTATTTATATATGATATATAGATCTCTATAGAATAAAGCTATATAGTGTATAGACATGCAGAGGATATATAGTATATAATTATTATATGATAGTATATAATTAGTGTATTTTAGTCTATATTTGGTGTATTGCAGCATATAATACACTATATATAGTATATATAATATATATTATAGTATATATACACCATATATAGTATACTATATATAACACACTATATATTATAGTACCTAATACCCTAAATATAGACTATAATACACTAAATATATCTATATTTAGTGTCTATATATATTATTTAGTGTATTATAGTACACAATACACTAAATATAGACTATAACACACTACATATATACTATATTTAGTGTGTATATATATTATTTAGTGTATTATAGTATATATTTAGGGTATTATAATATATATTTAATATATTATAGTATATAATACACTATATATAATAGTATATAATACACTATATATAATAGTATATAATACACTATATATAGTACACTATATATAATACACTATAATACACTTTATATTATAGTACATAATACACTAAATATAGATTATAATACACTAAATATATACTATATTTAGTGTTTATATACACTCTATTTAGGGTATTATAGTATATATTTAGTGTACCATAGCAGATATTTAGTGCATTGTGGTATATTTACCTATATATCTATATATTGTACACATTTCTGTGTTATAGAACATCTAAATCTAAATATACAGATCAGAGAGTGATTTTCTCTTATGTAAAACAGGGTCCCTTAAATCAAAGACCAACTCAGAGAGGACAAAAAGGCTGATTCCAAGTAGGAAACTGGGAGCTGTATCCCGGGCCAGACTGGGATAACCAGCCTTCTTTTCCACACCATCCACCCTTAGGGTCCAGAGTTATCCTCACTTTTGTGCCTCATTTCTACATGGATATTTATTAAGACATTTTTTTTCCCTCTCTTCCATAAAACTTTAAATGTCCCTGCAGAAGTTTAATTGACTCGATTCCCTTCCTTAACTCTCGATAAGGAGCTTAATGCTGGTTATGTGATCCAAGGAAACAAAGCTGTGGTTGTGGCTGGGAATGGGGTTTGGAGACAGGCAAATGGAATTCCTGGCAGATCCACTCCACATTCCTTTCTCCAGCAGGAAAGGGAATAAAGCTTATCTAGGAACACGCAATTATTCCCTGGGACAAGCAGCTGGAGCCACAGGATTGATCTGAACGCTAAAGGAAAAGGCAGAGAGGGAACAACGCTCGGAAAAAAGGAATTCAAATCAACTCCCCTGTGGGCAGCAAAGTGCCTGCAGTGCCACTCCAGGACTGTGCTGTCCTTTCTCCTTCATAGGACAACTTGGGGTTTTTGGTTTGTTTGCAGGGGGTTGTTTGGGCAGAGTGAAAGGGGTTTCTTGTGGGGTTTAGGGTTTTTTTTTTGCTTGGTGTTTTGGGTGCTCTTTTTGTTGTTGTTTTGTGGGTGGTTTCTTCAGGTTTGTTTTATGTCAAGACTTTATAAAAACCTGACATTAATGAGACCCCAGGTAGGCAAAGCCCAGCTCCATCCAGACCACTCCCCTCTCTGCTGTAACTCTTCCCAAAGCACCTTTTCCATGACACCTCCTTTAAACTGCCCTCTAACATCAAATTTGGAAGGAAATGCTGTTTGCACATTCCCCTCTTGTCCCCACCACTGAACCAGGGGCTGGAGAAGGTTGTTCCCCTTTTGGGCACCACAGGAAGTGATTCTTTCACTCCCCAACTTGATCAAAATTCAATTTAAAAAACAAAATACAAACCCTTTTCCAAACTGGATTGATTTTTCAAACAGTTCCTCTCATGATCCCAATGTGCTTGGAAAAGTCAACCACAACTGGGAGCACAACTGGGAAGCTGTTCTTGGGGAACAAAAGAGCCTGGATATTGCCACTGGAAGGTTCTGGACTCTCAATATTAAAAGCACTTACCTCTTCAAGGACATCTGCGAGCTTACTGAGTATCTCCTCGGGAAGGCTCTGGAATGTGGGAACGCTGCAACAGAAGAGAAACCTTGGTTAATGGATCCCTTCAGACAGGACATAATTCCAGCTGCACCTCTCCTCTCTCTTCCAGGGATATTTTGCCCTCATCCTCTAGGGCTGAACAAGAAAAGCAGCAAACAGTGGAAATCTGATCCCTTTCCAGCAAGATGTATTTTGGGATAACTTGCAGTGAAACCTCTGGAGAACCACCTGTAAAGCTGGGACCAACCAAGAATCCACCCAGGATCCTCCGGAATCCATCTGCACCACAGGCCTGCTCAGTCACACCGATGGCTGGGCACAGTTTTCCTGGTCTGCTTCCAGCCCACCAGCAGTGAAATCCAACATTAAAAGAGGGCAGAGGAGGTCAGCTCCGACCAGCACCAGGGAAAAGCTGGAAACCACACACAGACGCGGGAAACACGGAGCTGCCAGGGACATGGGGCACCAACAGACCAGCACCCAACCACTCCAGGAGCTACTGAAGACTTCACTGGGGGGTTTAAACTCGACTTTGCTGGTTTTCTTTTGCCAAAAAGGCACCTTTTCCCCTTGTTTGGCAGCATTGCCCTCAGCACAGGGCCAGGCTGGACCTGCTGGCTGGAACAAGAGGGTGATGCAGCAACAAGGAGCCCACTGACCCAGGGCCACCAGAACAAGGTGGAATTCAGTCTGGAGCAGGAGGAGGGATCTCCAAACCTCCAGCAAGGACCCTGACCTTAAAGCTGTATCTCCAGTGCCTTACAGCCCACCCAGCAAGGCTGGGAATTGTCCTCCTTGGAGATATTCAGAAGCCGGGCGGACACGATCCTGAGCAACCAGCACCCTGAACAGGGGGCTGAGCCAGGTGACTTCCAGATGGCCTTTGCCAACCTCCCCCAGCCTGGGATTCTGCAACAGCCCTGGTTTCTGTCTCCCTGCTTTCCCTAAAAACCTGCTGTTCATCAATATTCCCAAGTGGTGCTGAGCGAGACCCAGACACGACGTTCATTCCAGAGGCAGGAAAGCAGCACTGTACCTGCTTTAATTAAAACCACTTGTCCTCCACAGACTAATTAACAACACACCCACATGAAAGAGTAGAGGGTAGAGCTGTTTCCAAGAAGTTTGCTGGGGAGCTGCTTCCCCACACTCCACTACATGGTGAGAACACAGTCCTGTGCTCCCAGTGTTGGACTGACATTCCCAGTGCTCCGGGCTGATTCCAGGAATGTGGATAATGAGGTGCCAAGGGAGCTGCTGGAAGCATTTCTTTCTGAGTGGTAAATAGAACCCAAAAAATACCATTGCCCAGAGAAAAGGTGGATGCCCCATCCCTGGAAGTTCAGGGCTTGGCAGTGCTGACAGAACCTATGGAATCAATGATCTTAAAGGTCTTTTCCAACCTAAATTATTCTGGGACTATTTGCCTCCTTTTTATTAAAAAGAGTAGCTTCAGCTGAATCTATGTAATGGTAACAAGAGAGACCTGGCCAAATAAATGCAGAAAAATGGGACTTTTCATCCTCTCAGTAACACCTTTTTTTTCCTTAGGAAAGGCACTTTTATTGCTGGAAACACACAGGTCCAAACCACAACAACAGCAGACAGGCGGGAAACACTGAAAAGGAATTATGTGATGACTGGGCCTAAGTATAAAATGAAGGTTCATTATACCAATTCCAGCATTCCCAAATGAGGAATAAACTTATGGGAGAAGATAATAGCGTTGGAAAAGGGGATGGATTTTACCGTGGTTGCACCATTACACTCCCAAATTGAGGGAGTATTTTTTTATGGATAATTATGCAATCCAGGGGAGGGTAGTGGGAGACATCCACTATAGACCAAGTCCATAAAAACCAGGGAAATAGCCCGTGAGCTCTGAACAAATTCCAAATTTTACCACGAGAAGAGATTACAACTTAAACTCAGCAACAGAGCAGGTAATGGGAAAATCAGCTTGTTGAGAAAACAAACTCCAGCTACAGCATATCAGGGAATTACCCCATTAATATCCCAGGTTTATGATGGGCCAATATCCTCCTGAACAGCCAGAAGTGACAATGCAGCCACATATTTGAGTCTCATAAGAAAAGGTCTTACAGGACTCGATTCTCCGGGTCAATAAAAACACACCTCTGCTCTCTGCAGGACAACATTAAATGGATTCATCAAACAGATCCTTGATTTCCTCCCAAACCTGCCTGTATGATTGAAAGAGTTGAATGCAAAAATGAGTGTTTTGAAGGTTATTTCCATGTGGGTACTTGCACTGAAAGGAAAATGGAGCCTCAGCTCTCAAGGGAGAGCTTAGAGCAAAACAGCTGAGCTGCAAATTGCTCCAAGTGGGAAAACACATGTTAGGGAGGCAAAGGGGAGCAGAAAACTCCAAGGAAATCTCTCATCGGCACAGCAAGAGGTGCAAAAAATTGTATTTTGTTTTCTACAGCTGTGTGAGATCTGTGAAAAAGCCTGAACATATAGAAAAGCAAACACTGGGTTCAATGCATTCATTATTTATGGTAGAAGAAATCACAGCAAATGCAGCTCCAGCTCATCAAGAAGTGACTGTTTTGCCAAACAAAACAGCATCAAGCAAACCCAGAGTTTTCCAAGAAGTTCCTCTCCAACTGCTCCTTAAACCTCGTCAACAACGAAGATCTTAAAACATCCCTGTCACCTCCTCTAGGCAGGGACAGCAGCTCCAGAGGCACAACGAGGCAAAGCACATCCCTACTTTAGGAAATTGAGTTTTAACCCCAAGTGCCAATAAAGCTGATTATTTTAATCCACAACCATCCCAATGGTGGATCAGAAAAGCTGTGGGACTGCCACGAGGTGACAGGATGAGGAGCAGCCCTGCACCTTCTCCAGTCTCCCTTCCCTGGTTCCCCCTGGGCTCTGACAGGGAAAGGAGGAGCAGCTCCTGCTGGTGAGGAGAAGTGACTTTTCCTGGCTGTGTTCTACACTGTGTAGGGGCTGACAGCCCCTATTCCTGGGGAGGGACCGTGGGGAATTGTTCGGAGTCTGCAGCTATTCCGGCCGGCTCCGAACGCGACACGTCTTCCCAGAGAGCTCAACGTGCCCAACGCCAGCTGCCAAACTCTGGGAAAACAGCTGTGCTAAAACATCCCCAGTGAGTCTCTGTCCTGGTACAAAAGCAAGGATGTGCCCAACCCAAAGGAGGTGGGAAAGGCTGGGTTCCATCCCTGGGGATGTGGAGTCACCCAGGGAGAAGATCATCCCCCGTTAGCAGGGCTTTGGTTCGTCCCTGTGATCCATCCCATGGGATTACTCCTGTACAAAACCAGCAAGGGCTTCCAAGCAATCCTGGCTGTGCCCCAAGGGTTGGATTTCAGCCTAAAAGCCACTCGGTGGCAGAGCTGCCAACACTGTGACAGGACATTTGTCTTCTGACACACAGGAAAACTCCACAGGGTTCTTGGCTCTTCTTCCCTCAGCCCAACACAAAAGCAACTATTCACTTCCTAAATCCATTCCAAGATGTGTCTCCCAAACTTTGGAAGGCTGTTCATTGAGAGTGTTCATCCAGCTCCATGCAGATGATCCTCCTGGGTTAACTCTGGAACAAAACCTTTCTCTTTTATTCCTGGCTGGCACCCCAACAAATGCAGTTGTTGCTGCTGTTCCCTGCCTTGGGCCAGCTGGGAATGCAAAGCTCAAAACTCAAAACAGGAGAAATGGAGATGGAGGGTCACAGCCACTCACACTCCCTTTATTTACACTCATCCCTGGCCTTGGAATCAGCTCATGCAACACAGCTCTGAGGAAGTGAGAACAGATTTGCTCTGCAGGTGTTGCAGACGACTTTTCTGCTGTGCTAAAGCCACCCAAGCATTAAAACAATTCACAGTTATTCATTTTGGAGAGGGTGAAAATGTTACAGCTCCAGTTTGAAAGCTCTGCCCCTCATTACACAGCCCTTACTCGGGTAAATAAACTCCTGAAAGGGGGTTGTGGTGAGTTTGTTTTCAGGTAACTGGTTATATCCGAAGCGCTGCTACACGTAGGAAAATGGAGAGACACAGGAAACAGCTGAACTGATCTTTTCCCTCCAAGTAAAGCAACTGCCAAGGGTGGCATTTTTCCTTCTGATGAGAAAGGATAACAAGGATGCAAAGGGATGAAGGCTCTGCTGACATCCTGAGGCCAAAACTCCGGTTTTCCCTGCAGGGAATGCAAAATATCCACAAAACAATTTGGTGGCACACCCTGGAATCATTAAGGTGGAAAAGCCCTCCAAGGTCATCAAGTCCAACACTGCCATGTCCACCAGGAAACCATGTCCCAGGCACCACATCTACACGGGTTTTGAGCATTCCAGGTACCCTATTCCAGCCCAGGCTCTGTTTGTGTTCAACAGGCTGCACAAAACTCCAGAGTATTATTTTCCCTTGCTCCTGTCAATCCCTGACAAGGTTCATTATCAGACACAGCCCTCCCACTGCATCTCATTTGTCTGTCACGGGGGAGATTGTACAATTTCACAGAAAAATTCAATTGTTGCTTGTCATGATGAGAGGGAGGCAGAGAAATTAGCAGGTATATGAACCCCTTCTCCCATTGTAGATGAATTCATTCAGGATGATTCATCCTGAAAAGGACAATTGCTCCCAAAGAGCTACAAAAACTCAGCAGCAGCAACTACTCTGGAAACATCACTAAACTTCAAGCAGGCACAGTTCTGGTTACTCATCTCGAGGCAGAGGATTCACACTCCCAGCAGTGCTGCTCCTGTGCCTCCTCAGGGAGGGAAACTACACCTGCTTTAATCCCTGGAGTCTGTTATGGGACAATCTCTGCTCTAGCAGTTGGTATTTCTTCATATTTGCAAATCAAATTATACCTGCAGTTCTGAAGTAAAGCTTCTGTACCTTCCATCTCCCCTGTCTGTTCCAGCATTATTATATCACAGAATCCCACAATCACTGAGGTTGGAGAAGACCCTGTGATCAACCCCCACCTTGTCCCCAGCCCAGAGCACTGAGTGCCACGGCCAGGCCTTCC